TGAAGGGGCCTAAGATGGATGCAATAGCCCATTTACTGAAAAATGATGTGTTAAGGACTGATCTTACATCAGAACAGGGTGTGATAAAAAAAATTCAAAAGCATGCCCAAAGATAATCTAAGCTGTGGAGGACAACGGAGTGTTTTCCTCCCTTCCCCATAATAATATGAGAAGTAGGCAGTGACTTTTTATTGTCATTATATTTTATGAAATAGTGAATGTCTGCATGGCTACTGAGCCCTTGGTTGTTACTGAGCTGACTGCCAGAGCAGTGAGATGAAGCAAGAATGTGGCACTCCTCTGAGGCATTCATCTGCAGATGATCAGATGTCATCATGTGGAAACAGAAAAGTGGTATCAAGACATCCCTGGCCCCCTGGAATGGAAGGCATCCATCTTCTTCCACTCACCCAACAAAGCTCACTGATACACATGCCACATCAGATGGCTCTAGTGTCTCAGGCTGGTAGGTGCTGAAGAAGCAGTGGAATTTGAAAAACAACAAGCCTTAGAAACTGCAATTATCCTTCCCATAACTCCAGTGGCTCCAGGATCAGGTAGAGGCAGTTCATCACTCTGCTTCTCCTAACACCACTGCTTTAAGTTTGGCTGTGGAAAAAATTGAACAGGGTAACAATTTTAACATGCAGGCAAGTTTGACCTTTGCATCCCAGTCTTTCAAAGGAATAGAGGCTTTGGCCATGAGGTGTGTGTTCAGACTGCCCATCTTGTTTCTGAACTGCTAAAAGGTAGTCAGGACCATTGGTTTATCTGTGCACCAACATCTCACTCTCAATGTCAACATCTGTCTTAACTACAGTCTCTCAACGTTCTCTACCCAAACGCTGCTACTGCACAGGACCAGGAGCACTACAGCAACAGACCTCAGTGCAGTTACTTGCTTTCTTCTGTCCCAGTTTGGGTTGGCTGCAGCTCCCGTTATGCATCTGGAGGCGTTTCACTATTTAGATGATTACCATCAAGTTCAGACTTTCATCCTTACACAATAAGGATCAGTTTGCAATCAAATATTTTGGAATGCTTTCTGGCCATTTATCACGCAACTAATCTCAGCAACCCCCTTTCAGAATGTTCTAAAAAAGCATTAATGTGTAAGTGTTCTACAAGCATGGTTAATGATAGGATGTTGAACAGTGAAAACCATTTTCACTTTGATACAGACTATCTTATTCTGACTTTGGAGCATGTTTGGATAGGTATAACATTATCATTTGCATGAGAGATAATATTTAGCAAGAACACAAAACAATAGGCACTGCTAACATTCACCCTGGGTAAAACAGCTTTGTCACTGTCCAGTCGTATTTCACACTTTGCACACTAAACGCTGCTCATTTCACTGCACTGAACTATGCCTCTGGCAAATGTAGAACAGGACCTATCCAGAACCATAATGTCTTATGCCAAACAAAACCACTGTTTTATTTTTTTTTTTAAGCTAGAATTTATAAGGTGAAAATATGGCATTTGTACTCACTAAGCCAGCAATCTTCTCAGGAGATGCTGTTTCATCCTCACTTACTTGGGATCTATTAGTCTCTTCTGCCACTGCAAACAACTGAGCAGTTTTGATTGGCTACGTGGGCTTCTGCATCATCAGCCTGAGGTGGTGGAACCACTCATCAAAGTTGGGGTCGTGTTTCTTGTACAACCCAAAACAATGCAGGTGAAGGAAATGAAGGTTTACCTCATTTCTTTAGAGAAATAAGATCTTCCCCCTTTCCCACAGTCCACACTTACTTCCATAGTGCTTGAGATTCACTGAAAAATGAATGCTATGACTAACACTGAAAAACACTTAAGCTTTCAGAAAGCTTAAGTGTTTTTCAGAAAAGACTTTTTCATTTTCAAGAAAAAACACCTGAGTTTTTCACTGAAAACATACAGATTTTTCAAGCAGTGCTATTTGTTAAAAACCACGAAGGATTGGTTTTCTGTCTGTTACTGGATTTCTTAGTCCTGGTCTAAGTACATGGCATAAAAAAAATCCATACTACTGCTATGGAAAAAAAGTAAGTTTGTGTTCAGTGAGCATGGTAAGAAGAATTTCAGTTCCCATTAACTAAATTAATTTAATCACAATAATAACATGAAGAAAACAAGAAGTTGATGAAACTCCCCTTTTGGCCTTGAAAAGTCCATTTCCTCCAATTCTTAATATGTATGAGATGCAGAAGAAATCTTTGCTGGCAGGGCTTCAGTTCAAGATAAAAATTATAATGCTGCAGTGCACAATGGCAAAAGCATTTCACAAAAATTCCTGTTGAGCAATTAGAAAAAAGATATATTATTCCTCTCAGATCATAAGAGTAGCTTGATTTTAACTTCAAAAAGTAATTCAGATCATTTCAAACAACAGTTATGCATTTTAAATTAAGCAAGTCTGAGCAAGTTGTGACTGAAAATTTGACAGAGCTAATCAAGAAGCTCTCTGGACCACCAATATTATTTAAATTTGCCACTTCTAGGAAAGATTTCAGAGGACTGAGGTGAGGAAAGAACTAAGACAGCATCAGCTTTTCAGTAAGTAGGTAGACTGATTTAAATTGACATAGCAGGAAAAGGGAAGGAAATAATGGAATAACCCATAATTTTTGATCATTCCAGGACATAGAAAGCAAAACTAATTGAAATTAATAAAGCTTACAAGAAATAGAGCTGGTCAGATAAAACTGACTCCTTATATTGATCAGCTAGAATTCAAAATTGGTTGAAGACAAAGCCAACACACATGTAGTATTTCTATTACTGATGGGCATTTAAAAGTGTGCCATGTGACAGACTGAAGCCAGATTTATACAAAATTAACTGTTCTGGTATGAAATACGTTGCAACTAAGGTTTCTGAATTGTATACAGACATCCATTAAGCATAATTGTCTGTTCTTATTTTAAAAATTGCTTCTTTACTATAACATTATTTAACATTATTTTCAATAATTGAAATACAAGATGAAATTACCTTTCAAATCTCATCTAAAGATGAAAAAGTTTCAAAGGAGAGAAGCAGAGAAAACGAGTGAATACAACTGGCCACTTCCTACAACCAGCTTGCTTTGTTTCCTGGCTGTGAACTGCATTCAAAGGAATGTAGAAACATATAGGGCTTCACCGACCACAGAAGCAATAGGCACAGGGACTATTTATATTTCAAATCTGATGTCACAGCCAAGACTGTTATAAAAATGAGGTAGAGGAGCAATAGAGTTGATACAATTTTTTTAGCAGTCCTGCTTTGCTATTAGTGCTCGAATTAAAAATGCATTTAAATTATTGTAAAGGATCCAAAGGAGAGTGCCATGAACACAGGATCCAGAAGACTTGAGTCTATTTACTTACTTTTAAAAAGAAAGCTGAAGAGTGACTTGTTCAGTTTGAAAATGCCTACAGCGAAAACAGCAATGTCATACCATGCACTTCAGTTTGGCAGACAAAAGACAAAAGATCTGACAGCTGGATATGGAAAGATGACAAATTCAGGCTCAATGTAAGAGGCATGTGTTTAATAGTAAGTAATTATACTTTAAACAATTTGGGTGGATTCTTAATTGTAGGAGCTTTCAAATCAATGCAGGATACTTCTTCTAAGAACAGCTTTAGTTCAAACAAGAATTTGAGGAAGTCTTGGAAACTGCTCAGCAAGAGAGCAGACTGAACACATGGTGTTGTTTCCTTCTGAATCAGATTACACTGGAACTGTTAAATTTTTCTCATGGAAATACCTCAAAGGAGGGAAGAGAAGCGTGCATGAGCATTTTGGACACACAGGATCATGCAATACAGTGGGGACTATATGGATGCATAACAGCACAGCCTGAAAGAAGCATCACCTAGGTACAGCAAGGGTGTAAAATTGTGTAGGTAGGGAGGGACTCTCATTTTTGTACTAGAAATTATGAAAATGAAAGCAGGAACAGCATACTCTGTTAAATCTAGTGGATGCCAGAAATTTTGCATGCCAGGAGATTGCTCAGCCCAAGCCTACAGGGGTACTGTTTCTTTCAGACTGTTTTTAACATGAGAAAGAAAAATAAGAGAGATGCAATACACCCGAAAGAAGAAATTCACCTTTTTAGCCTTGGTGAAATAAAGGTGAAGATGCCTGACACACTGCAGATAAACTTAATCATGTAAAGGAAAAGGTAGTCAGAAGAGACAGAAACCTGAGAATTTCCTGCTTGAATTGTATCCATACTTTTGTGAACATAAAATTTGCAAACACTGAGTTTCTAATCTCAGGAAATAAAATTATTCCAATTGATGGCACTCCTTTTTGCATATAAGGCAATGAGATTCAAGTTGTCTTGTCTGGTGTCAAGTAAGAGCTTTGAATAGAAGCTCTTGTATCTTAGGAAAAGATCTCATGACACGAGGCTGCTGGATGTTTTGAGCATGACTACCTAGTTCTCCCTGCAAGTCATGTTTGAACAAAACAAAGATCACATAAAGATGGCCACATTTTGAAGTAATGTGTGTTGGTGAGAAGCTGGTATACAGATTTAGTTGGAGAATTTTCTTCAAGAGAAGGGTGTAACATTTTTTACTCCAGTAATTCTTTCAGTAGCCAAGATTCTTACTTCACAATTTCAAACTTCTACATACCCAGCTGACAGGATTAAGACACAGCGTAGGAGTTCACCCTGCACAGACGGTGAGCATAATGTACAGTCATCATGGAGACAACAGCTCAGATGGAAAAATCCTTCCAGGTTGCTCATGACAGATCTATGGCAGTGGTCACCCACCACAATATATTTTTAGAGCTCTGTACAGCCCATTTCTATGCATGCTCCTCCCAAAGACCCTTTAATTCATAGATACTGTTAAAGCTCACATGACTCTCTTCAGAGAGATACATCATAGTATCACTTTTGTATCTGCACTTTCCCACATGGGCAACATGCTGCTGTGGAGCTGTATTTAAAGCACGCTTTGGAGCCAGGGACTTTGCAGTTCAACAGCACTAAATAATCCACAAACTTTTCAAGTACATACTTTATTTCATTCATATTTCACAGTCAATTTCTGTAAAGTTTTAGCAAAAAGGTCATGTTCTATAACAGAGGTGTTAGGCTACTGTATTCAGAGCTAGCAACGGGCTTTGAAAGTACAGAAAATACCTACATTCCAACTAGAACAGTAGAATTTCAAAAAGACATAGTAAAAGTAATCAAAAATACCAACATTTATTAAAACTTAATACAAAAACCAGTCTGTCTGACACATCAAGCTACCCCACTTGTAAGTTGTTAGCAACAGCTGAAGCTGCAGCAGGCCATATGATTGATTAGACAAAGACTTCTTCAGCTAACTTCTTAATACTAAATCTTGCTGCTTTGAGGATCAAAAGCAACTGTGAGTTCACTGCTTACAGCTTCCATTCAGAGGCTAACACTTCTGTTCAAATTTACTGGACCACTTTCAGATCCTGCCCAGAATCTGGACTTATCCTGGCCCTGATGTAGCCAACTAATTTTCCAAATGCATTTCCAAGCTAACGTATTTTATTACATTGCAGCCAAGAAAGGAAAGCCCTTATTGTTTTAAAGCTTTTTCAGGGCTCCCAGGAATAAAGGCAGCTAAGAAAATGGAACAGAGTGGTACCTGATGACACATTTATCACCAGAGACCTTCAACATCCTTATTTTTTTATAGATGTTGAGTTAGAGTTTCCCATTATCCAGGGATATGCTTCCTAAGGAGCCCCAGATTTAAGTATGAGTTCCAGAGTGGATTTTTCTAGTTCAGTAAATACTATTTAAGTCTGGACTGATGCCCAGTAGGAGATTTCTAACCAGCTGCTGAACTTTATTCACAGATTTATTGAATATATATTTATACAAATTACACCAGCAGAAAGGCCCATTAGCTGTAAGCACACCCACTTCAGCCCACCCTCCATACTGTCAGAGAAAAAGTCCATGTGGTACTATAAGGACTACGAGAGATTTCTACCAGCTAAGTCTCCCTAAGTCAGAGGGTATTGCCCTGCAAAGCAAGTTTTTCATTCCTTTACACTCTATTAGAGCAGTGGAAATAGAATGGAGAAGGTCACTGGTAGACTCATTTTTCCTTGTCTCAAACAGCTACGATTTGACTTCATTTTTTCTGCCTCCCTTTCATCTCTACGTACCCTGAGCCCATCATCTTGTTTTCTAGGGCAACTGCTTCCTAAAAATACATATTCTGAACTTCAAATTCTCCTCTCTATTCAATTTCTCTAAATAAAAAAAATAAGGAAGGGGATGGGAGAAGGACTTCTTTCACCTCATACCAACTCCCTTCACCTACTTGGAACTGATGATGGCCCAACAGTGGGGCCTGTTCTGCTGCTGCACTCTCAGAAACAACTATCTGAAGATGGGAATAAGAAGATGCTTGCAGAATACTGCAAATGACTGTCTTCACTTCAAGAATGGGAACATGCCAGCAGAACATATACAAACTTCTTCAGACCAACAAATTACACAGAGTTAGCAAGAAATTCAAGGTCACGCTGCAGTACTAAGTAACCATTCTGTCTGGAACCCACCATGCTATTCAGACCAACAAATTACACAGAGTTAGCATGAAATTCAAGGTCACGCTGCAGTACTAAGTAACCATTCTGCCTGGAACCCACCATGCTATTCCAGTCCCACAGCTGGCTCTGAAGACAAATTGTTAATGGCAATGCAACTTTACAAATCTTGGACTCAAAAAATGCTCAAGTAGAAGTCCAAGACAGGAAAAAGGAGGCACAGAAGTAACTTGACCAACAGCTATGCACATTTTTACTACATGTTGGGATAAGTGGGGTCTTCGAGGTTGCTATCAGCTTTATCAGATCCTGTTAGGGATGCTTCTAGCTCTGCCCATGACTGTGGAGCATTGTTCTTTATTGCCTCTATGAAAAGCTGTGTTTGGTGCTTCAGCTGGTCCAGCTCAGCCTGCGTCACCTGGTTCTGATGAATGAGCTCCTTGGTTTTTAAGGTGATCTCCAGCAGTCCCGACCTGCGTAGCACAACAAGCGTGTTCTGAAAGCGCCTGCACTTGCTTTGCTGCTGCAAGAGCAGCTCAGGGGTGCTGCAAATCTCTTCTGGTATCAACGGAGGGCTCCACGCTGCAGAAGGCACCGCAGTCTGTGATGCACTCTCGCTCTCATGAAGGGTGCACTTTGCTGCCTGCAGAGTTCCAAAAGGCAAAATGGGAGTCAAACCTGGCACTTTCTGAGCATCGCTGGAAACGCGATGAAAACCAGGAAGAGCTGACAGTTTTCCACTTGTCACCAGTGCTGAAGAACTTTGCTGGCTAGAATCCTGAGGGGTCTTAAAGCTAACTGGTAGGTGGGAAAAAGAGCTAGTAGGCAAGCCTGTGCTCATCAGTCCAGGAGAAGTCTCCATCTTGGGTGCTTCTGTGCAGAGTCGTTTATGGCAAGTGGTTTCCTGACATTTTTCTAGATCAAAGGAGTGATCTCTTTTGCAGGGCTGTGGTGCTATTTTGGGATAAGAATTCAGGATGGGCAGGTAATTAGTGGAGTCATTTCTCTTTTTCCCAACAGGGTGAGGATTAATGGGAGGTGGGATTGATGGACGAAGAAACACTAGCTGTGGCTGAGCTGGAATCACTTCAAAGGATGGCTGCACAGTCCAAGACTGGAGCTGTGATGAACTCCCCTGAGAAGCACAAACAGGGAAAAACCACAAGTCTTACAGAAGTGTCATAGAAGACGATAAAAACAAATTTAAACAAAACAGGTGGACTGTGCCATTTTTCTACATTTGATATGTACTATCCAATTAATGTGTAAAGAGTTTTCTATCAAACTCATCCTTCTCTTTTTCTGACAGTGGAGTGTAACGCTGGAAATAAAGCTGTAATCCATAATCCTTTTACTATGCAATAGCAGATGTATTTAAAAACAATTCAATTTATATATGCTTTCCTAAGTGAGGATTACAGTGCAAGCTTATATTGTAAAATGTTCATTAAAAGTTCGACCCAGACTTGGGGTCAAACTACAACTACACAGGAAAGCTGAAAAAATAATTAAGCTTTCTGTTATGAAATATCTTAAGAGTCAAGGAAAGATTGCACAGACATTTTAGGAACAAATCAGGCTCCCTCCTTCTTGAAAGGTAGCAACTCAAATCTTCTCAAATCTATTCTTATAGCAAGATTTTGAAATGGCTATTTAAGATACACAACAGCTGTTCAGGAAGCCTTGTAATCTGAAGTACAATACCCAGTTTCAGTAAATTTAAAACTATAAAACAGAAAAAAAAAGGCTGAATATCAACCAATGCAAGGAGAAAAGCCTGCGGTAAGCCCAGAGGAGTTTAACTTCTTACCTCTGGGGAAACAGTGTGCACTGATAAACCTTAAAAGCATTTTATTTCAAGAACAACGCCCAAGGCTTTATTCCCTCCCACAAGCCATACTCTGGAATATAGGGGAAAACATCCATTTTTACAAGACATTACCTCTTTTTCCTCCAACACCTTACTACAGATCTTCATGAGACCTTCTGGCCAAAAACATGACTGCTTTTCTCCAAAGACATCAAATGTTCCAGTAAGAGACATTATTTCTGTCTAAAGCAAAATCTTACTTCTTAATCTATTTAAGCCATCACTGCTACAATTATACTAATATATTTTTGTCAGCTGCTTTTCCAATTCCTTACAACTTGGAACACAACTGGCAGGCCAGCTCTGAAGGCACAGTTTTTAGCTACCACAAATATGTATTATTATTTTTAGTCTATATTAAGTCATCTGAAATCCATATCCTTTCCACCAGTCTCATAAGTTTTAAACTGGCAAACGCTAACATGCTTTGCTAAAGTCCATTCCCCCAGTAAAGGACTTGGAACTTACCAAAAGCAGGTACTACCCACTGATTAGGACACTGAGACTTGGAGATAAGATTCAATTACCTACTCTGACACAATGTTTCTTTGGTTCAGTGGGCAAGATGCTTATGGAATAGGGGTACAGAACAGCTACCTGTAAAAATAAATATTACTACCTTAACACAGAAGAAAGAACATTCAAAAGAAAAATATCTGGAGATGTAAGGAGTGAGGAAGCATATAAATACTGTAGCCATACAGACACAGGACAGAACAAGTAGCCTTAAGAAGCAAGGGTTTGGAGCCAAAAGTTGCCATTAACTGCACTGCTGAACAGCACCTAGCACACCAGAGCCCCATAATCATTGAGGCCAAAAGAGCTGTGGTAACTGTTTATCTTGCTCTTGGGTTTCTTCCTATCTCTGTTTTTTCTTCTTTTCCTTCTCACATAGCACTCTGCTCTAGTTCTCCTACTCAAAATCTCATTTTCAGTAGAGGAGGCCAGTTTGATTTTACTAACTCTGAAAATTGTGTGTTTTGTTGCATTTTTTAGTGAAAGCTAACTTCTTGATGTATCACTGTCACTTGCCTAAAAAGCCTTCCCACTTATTAAAGACTTCTAAAGACTTACAGAAACCTTACCACAATCAGCACTGGCATTAATCACCACCTGACTTTTTTTTTTTAGCATCATTACTGTTAGCTGTTTACATTGTGAAATTGGGCCAGCAGGTAACAACCACTGTAGAGGATCACAGTGGTTCCAAGATGGAAGGATGATGCTGGTGGAAGCTGAAACTGGAAGAAATAAACAGCAGAAACTGGATGCTGCTATTTTTTTTTTTTTTGGTCCAGCAGGCCCAACTGAGCACTGTGTTGAAAAGACCATTTTAAAAAGATGACCATCTGAACTAACTAGGCATAATGAAAAAAGGCAGAAAGACATTTCATTATTATTCTGACCTAGACTTGTTGCTTTCCTTTATTGTAGTATTGTAGTTAACATTTTTCAATTTGACATTATTGTCTTTAATCATATGTAGTTAGATATTACGATGCACTGCTCAAGAGAACCAAGTGTGGACATTTTATCCATCTCCAAGTCTTCCTTGCCAAATTTCCTTTCTCCTATACTACCAGGGTTATATATATATATGTGGTTGTATTTTTTTGTATCTCTCTCTCTATAAGCTACTTATTATTAGGAGCTGCTTTTTCTTATTTGCAACACAACTTGGAGTTTAACACTGGAATCAGTGCAGGTAATGTCTTAATTTTTGTGCTCTGGGCCAAAGGCTATCAGCCTTTGGTGAAGTTTGGCTATTCCTGACTTTACAAATAAAAACTTCAGCATTTCTTTACACAGTAATTTGTCCACACATCTAGGAATGTGACTATAAAATAAAATTGTTTCTTGTCAAGATAAAGCACGATGCTTAGAAAGCAGAATCACCTCCCCCACAACTGCAAAATCTGTTAAATACTAACAGGGAATATTAGGTCTTGCTTGTTGTCATAATGGGTTCAGTAGAAAAAGAATCAGGATTTATATTCTTTTTTCCCCTTCCCACTGTATTCTCAGAAGTACTTTAGTAAAAAGCATTGAAGAACTTTTGCTCTGCTCCAAAAATGAGTGAGCACAGAGCACGAGGTCTCATAATACGACCGTACTTCTCAGACCTTGTGTTAAAATGTTAAAGTTACACAGGGGGTCTCACAGATGTGCTGGAGGAACTAAACATCACAAGAATACTGAAGAACATAAATAGGGGCTGTAATTGGTGCAATGTGAGCCATCATATGCAATTAAGTGAAAAACTATTAAAGCAGAAATACCACAGATAAGGATTTCAGATAAGGATTTAACTTTTTCATTTATAACATTCTGGATTTGTGTTTTCCATTGAAGCACTTCTAGAATCTAAGAATGAGGCAACAAACCTATCATCCTACTTCATCATCTTTTTTGAATAATAAAACAACAGCAGCTTTCAAAAGCAAATCACCCTTTTCTGTTTAATCTTTGGTGCTATTCAGGTGCTATTTAATCTTTGGTGCTATGAAGATGTGCTTTGGTGGGATTCCTTTGAGACAAAGAGGTTTAGGAGACTCAGCAGAGTATCTCTATTTCACATTTCATTTTAGTGATTCCAGCTGCCTTTCCAAAGAACAGACAATCATACTACAACTTCTTAAATTACCAGTTTTTTTCCTGGACTGCAACAACATTACAAAATCTTTTTTGAAAGGAAAAATGTTTTTTAAAAAAATTAAGAACATGCAATATTTTTCAAGACATTATGTCTTCCCTACCTGCTTAACCAACACATTTTTCATAACAACCATAGGAGATAGGGCAGGAAGGGAGCTGCTTGTGGTCCTCGGGCATTGCCAAGGTCCATCCTCTGCATTCCAACACAGCGCATTCAGCACATCCTCCGAGTCTGTCTGCTCCATAGCACTTGGGCATTCTGAACTTCCATCTGCCAGATGCAGAATTCAGCTGTTAGTTGTTCCACATGCAACATGCTTACATGCCTTTCAGTTCTAATATTCTGCCTCCTTCAACCAAGTTGCCATAAAGAACAATAAAGGTTAGTTCTGTAATATCAACAAAATTAAAGCTGCTATGACAGCTGTCAGGCAGCCTCTAATAAAAGGCTTTGTATTTCAGGTCAGTTCTTATACAGACATTTTCTACCCCAAAAATCTATTACTTTCTGCTCTTTTGTACTTGGTCTCCAAGGGACTGCATAGTATCATGAAGGCTGCATTAGTCTAAAAACTGATACAGGAAAGCACTACAGGCCCCAGCATTGCCACATCCACAGTTTGCGACGCAGGCATTTGGTGTCTTGAAATTTTATCTAAAACTCAGTGAAGCAGGTAACTTTCATAGAAAGTACTTTTTTTCATGTTTAAAGGTCATTTTTGCACAGTTTTGTTGAGTACTAAAATGGCACATCGTGTCTATTATTTTACTGATGTTATAACCATTACCCTCTGGTTTATCAGGCTCTACTGACAATATGGTCAGATCATGAGAAACACTGGGCAGCATAATCCAACAATTCATTCATCACTGCAAAGAAAAAGTAATTTTGACATCTCCACTTCTAGACTCTAGAGTCTAAGATTATTCCATTAATTCTAAATTCCCATGCCATTCAAATTCACAGGATGAACTTTGTAATTTGGTAATGTTCCACTTCATAAAACTTTGGTGGTAAGCTGATTGCAGGTGAAACCTATCTTGCATAGAAAGGCCCTCCAAGGTAATGAGACACAAACTGGAAGGGGTTACTCAGATTTGTTAAACATCACCAATTAAAGCATAGCCTCAGCATGGTAACACACAAAAAAGGTAACACAGTGTTCTTCTAAACCTGAATATCCGGAGTCTTTGTCAGATTCTGCTGCTGCCATACTGGAGCGATGGTTGAAGCTCTTCATTTCCCTCACTCTGCCCAACAATTCCTCTCCAGTGTCAGTAGATGACTGTTTTGTCTGAGTGTTTCCATGGTGCCGTGGACAGTTTTCAACACCTTTTCCATTGAGGAACTACAAAAACAGTTAAGAACAATAAAAGGACTTTATCTGAATCTAAAGTTCCATCACTATAAGGTAACAATGGAGGATAGCTGCATATCTCCCTTTATACTGCCAGTGATCTAACTGCAGACTTTAAGAAATATCTCAAAATGCTGAAAGAATGAAATTCAGATCAAAAGCTAATGTACTGGACATGTCTTTCCACCCCAAAAAGGTAAAACAAACTAAAAATTAAAGGCTATTCATAAACAACATTTATTTCAAGAACGGGAATTACTCAGGGCATTATTTATCTTATTTTGTTGTTCCAAGGGCTGAATTGCAAAACAAGACAATTGTGCTGGGTGAAGCTCTTACAGTAAATACAGCTGAACCTGCAAAGCTGTGGTTTTGCAAATACAGTTTGTTTCATTCTCAAGAGTAGAGTAAGTCATCAGAGAAAAGAATGAGTGACCAGTGAACACACTGGGGGCTAAAGAAATCTGCTGCTAAAAGAGCAACACATACTGCAATACACTCCTAGGGGAGACAGAACCTTAGAAATGCTCACACCCAGAATGAGAACACTGAAAGGCTGAAACTAAAAGCTATGAAAATCAGAAAAACATAGTAACATTATGGCCTCTCACGCTACATACTTGTCACAACCTTCAGGTGCTTTCTGAAGGTAGGCAGCATCCAGTAAGACTAAGTTTCTGCTTCTCTTAAAGAAGGTAATTGAGAAACTGGCTAACAGAAAACTGACAGAATTAAGTCCAGAAATAATTTCTACTATTATTTGTAGAAATTATTTTCCTATAAAGTAACCCACTGAAGTTATGGCTCAATGTTAAGTTTTATATTTAAATTACAAAAACAGGAACTCTAGAGTCTGCATCATACTCAGGCCAGCAGTCCATCAGCAGCAACATGCAGTACAAGCTGCTTCAAATGACATTGCAACAGACATTCTGAAATAATCTACACCAAAATCCAAGTTTCTTCCTCAGGCCCTGCCACCTTCACTAGAAGCGTGCTCCAAAATACCGAGTCTTAGCACCAGTACTGAGTTCTGAAATGGGAATATGACTGTCTATTACAGGAATGATAGAATTATGGTCAGCAGAAGAAAATTTAGTAGCCACTTGCATCACTTTTACTTTCCATCTTCAGTCACACCTGCCTGCCTGCTAACAGGTATGGAAAAAACATGGTTACACAAGCACAACCTAGATGCTATCCTTGCAATGGAAGAAGTAGTTTAAGACCTGATCCACGCTTTCATCACTTAACCCTTTCCAAAACAAATGTATTTTTTAAGAAAGTGATAAGCAGAAATGCTAATCTAAAATAAAACCCCAAAAAACCAAGACCACCTCAAACCAAAACAAGAAAGAGGACTAAAAATAAAGTAAGAACACTTAATCTGCCAGCTTTGCATTAAGCGAAGCTTTAGGAAGGGCTGACACACCATCTTCTCTCACAGAAAAAGGCAAAACACCACAACCACAACCGAAAATAAACAAACCAGAAGTGCCACTCCCCCGAGGCACGAGCGTGAGAAACCTCCTGCTCATCCCCGGGCCAGAGCAGGACCTGGGCCGCGCACCGCCCTTACAACCGGGCGCCCACACCGTCGTCCGGGGCTGTCCGTGCCGCTGATCCCACCCAACCGCCTCCCGGGCCCGCACGCCAGACTCCTGCGGCACGAGGAGAGCCCGCGCAGTCGGGCCGAGCCACTCGGCTGCCGGTCCCGAGCCACCGCCCCGCCACAGGGCGAGGCGCACCAGGTACAGCACAGTCCCGGGGCCCCAGGGCCGCCACGACTCGCTCACGGCCGCGGCCGCCGCCTCCCGCCAGGCCAGGCCAGGCCAGGCCGGGCCGGGCCGGGCCGGGCCGGGCTACCCCTCACCTGGCCGCGGGGCCGCCACAGCTCAGCCGCAACGCGCATGCGCCGCACCCGCTCCGGGCACGCCCCGCCCTCACGGCCCCCGACGAGGAGCACGGCCGCCGCGCCCCGAGCGCGCATGCGCAGAGTGGCTGGCCGGAGAGCGGGCCGTGAGGCGGGTCCGTGCTGCGGCCGCGGCCGTGAGGGAGCCGGGCGGGCTGAGCGGAGCCCGGCGTTCGGGATGGCGCTGCGCCTCCCGAATGCTGTACAAAAAAGTACGATTCTTCCCCACACAGAAGGTTAGGCGTTGGTGCAGCCTCTCTCAGTCCGTGAATGTGAGAGGAAATATGAAGGAAACAGCATCAGAGAGGTCTCAAACTTGTCTCACTGAGGGAAAACAGGGCGAAAAAAGGAATCACAGAATCAGTTAGGTTGGAAAAGACCTTGGGTCATCGAGTCCAACCTATGACCTAACACCACCGTGTTAACTCGACCAAGTGCTACATCCAATCTTAGATACTTTCAGGTACGGTGACTCCATCACCTCCTTGGGCATCCTGTTCCAATGTCTAATAATCCTTTTTGTGAAGGAATTCCTTCTCATCTCCAACCTGAACCTCCTCTGGCACAGCTTGAGACTGTCCTCTTGTCCTGTCTCTGGTTGCTGGGAGAGTAGGCCAAACCCTGTGTGGCTACAGCCTCCTGTCAGCCTCCTTGTGATAGTGATAGGGTCACCCCGGAGTCTCCTTTTTTCTGGGCTGAACACCCCCTTCTGCTCCTCACAGAACTTGTGCTCTAGACGCTTCACCACCTTCATCACCCTTCTCCTGACTCACTCTAGCACCTCAGTGTCTTTTCCTGAAGGGAGGTGTGAAAAATGCATGTATTTTATGATTGGCTTTTTCCAAATATTAAAATGAATAGTATATGTGTTGTGTTAGAAAGTAATGCTGTATTAATTCTCTTAAGTACTGTGTTAAATATAGTTTTAGGTTATAAAAATTGTTAAAATAGAAACGATGCTATGTAGGATACTTTTTTTAAAAAGAAAGGACTCGGAGCACGATAGCAGCCACAGGACACCTAAATCTTTCAGAGAAGAAGAATTTATTGCCCTCTTATCAGAAGAAATGAACTTCTTCCCGCCTCGAAGGCACTGTTAGGATTCAGAGGAAGAAGTTGATGATGACCAGACAGAATCCTGTATTTGAATGGAATTTATGCATCATGTATGACGTGTATGAATATGCAACAAGCTATTGTTTTTAAGGGTTAATCCTTTGTTCAGGCTCGTGCTGCCCAGAAAAAGGTACCCAGACGTCCGTAACTCTTTGCCTTTATTGTCTCATATTGTCCTAATTCAATTTGTCCAAATTATTATTACTCTAATTGTATTGCTATTTTTATAACCATTTTATTACTATTAAACTTTAAAAATTTTAAAAACAAATGATTGGCGTTTTTCACAGGAGGGACATAGAATTGGACACGGAATTCAAGGTACGGTTTCATCAATGCCGAGTACAGAGGAGGAATCACTTTTTCCTGTTATGAGTGAAAACAAAAAACCAACCAACTTTTACATGGCTGGGAAGTATAAAATACATGGATTTTGTTTACATGGACTGCATATAAACCAAGGGCAAATAAATAGGAGGAAGTGAGTCCCTGGTTCAATGAAAAAACTAGAGTAGCTATTCTTGTTCTGAGAACTCCATAAATGCTACCAGCACCCAGAAATCTGTCAGAGTATTTTGCATTTGGATATGAAAGCCATTTCATTAGAGAAAACTGAAAAGGCTGTGTGGAAGACCTGAGCAAATACAAAATTAATTCCTTAAATAGAAATGGAAAGAAACACTTTCATTGTTATGATGGTCTTGTTAAAGAACCTGAAATGTGCTGATTAAAGAGGTCAACAAGATCTAAGAAATTCCTGAATGAGAAAGAGAAAGACCTTTAATCTCAGCATAGTCTCATAAACAACTTGCCAAATGCAACACAAAAATGTCCGATGTTGCGTGAAATGACACCGTTATTTTAAAAAATATGGCACTGCTGGGTTCCAGTCCTACCAATCTGAAATGCTGTGAGAGAACACTAGTGACTCTTAGGATGTATTTTTGAGCACTTAATGCTGATTGCATCTAAGCTGTAGTGTGAGATGTGTGATCTCTAGAGTCTGGATTTGGATGCCTTACTGTTCAGGAGTTTGAGTTCTGAGGAAAAGCATGCTAAGAATGCTGTTGTATCATCTTATTTGTACAGGCATGGTCCTGGGTTGCCTTGTACCCAGAAACAACCCTTACTGTCCTCTCCAGAGGCTGGATTTCTCGGGATAAGGAGTATGTGTGGGTGCTCAGTGAAAACAGCTCACCAGAGAGCAAGTGGCCTGTGTTTGGGACAGACAGCCTGCTGTTCAGTTCCGGTGATTCAGAACAGATTTGGAATGTGTGATACCAGGCCTTCCTCCAAGGGGCAACAGGTAGGATAACTGAAATACTGTTATTACTGTTTAATAGAAAAGTTTTCTTGGATAGTCAAGGTAAACCTCTGTTCTAAATGAATGAAATCTTATCACCCAAATTGTCCCTGAATTAAGTTGACTTAAACCTTAGGTTTATCTTGAACATCATCTAAATTCTTCCTCCTCCAAATATGCTGGTTTTGTAGTTTAAATAATATTTCTGTCACTGCCTCTTCTCTCCCTTTTCATTTTATTTGATTCTTCACTGATCCAAGGTCTCATTTACTGTGTGAGTTCAGTGATTACAGTCAGTGGCAACAGGATGTTTTCCTTTTTCCTTATGTTATACAGTGGTTGATTTGTTTATGCTAAAGGTGAGTGTTTTGACGAATAAGAATTAACTTTTTGTTCACTTCCCTGTTTATTCTGGTCATACAACAGGAAAAGAGTGAAAAGAATGTGAGTGAAGTATGACTGCATGTTTATTCTGTGTAGGTGTTTCAACACTTATTAAAAAAAGGTGTTGAATATCTTCTTTCAGGAGAAGATGCAGAAATCATCTGTCATGGCTTAAGAGTGACAAAGGCAAGTTTTTATCTTATTAGGTGGTTAAATAATGTCTGCTTACTGAACAATTAATAAAGGTGTTGATGCATAGACTTCATAAATGCATGTGGGACAAAGAATCTTTTGTCCTAACACAGCGGTAGAAAGAAATGTTTGGCAAACTTAGGAAGTAAAGCATAGCCAGATCAGAAGAATGTAGTTTCATATTACACTGTCTGAACTGGAAAGGTTAGGTCTGAAAACACCATGTACTCAATCTTTTTTCTTCATATACTCTGCTTTGTTTTGCTATCACAGACAAAATACAATTTAACAAGTGCTATATTGTATTAAGTTAGTTTACAAATAAATAGCTTTATTCACCTCACTTCATTGAACCTGTCTAATTTTTATGATATTTTAATACATGTATCTTTGTTACTTCTGTAATTTTAATACATAAATAGAAGAATATTGTTTAAATGATGCCTCATAAATTTTCATGGTCTCAACAAAAGAATTAATTCATCCAGACAAAGTGTGTTGTTGGACATTAAACAATATTAAAGCTCAAAATCTTTTTGAAAGGACATTCCACGTATGTATTTTGTTAATAATTAATATCTTTTCATAAATATCAAGCCAGGAAACATTGTGTGATCATGTGCTCTCACCTGCAGTCTGTCACAGATCATAGAATTTCACCCAGAAGTTGACTTAGCAAGATTTTTCTCTAATGAAAGTACTTTAGTAATGGCTCCTTTTCTTCTAAATTTCAACTTTAGGTATGTATTCTTTTCAAAGTACAAATCTTTCATATTGTTATATCCATCTGCGGCTTCATTTTTACCATAAATATATCCAATTAAAGACAAGGCAGAATGAAGGTAATTTAAAAATAACAAACGATTAACAAAGTAGGCATATCAATAATAAAGCACTTTTGATGCTCTTACACTCTTCTACACTGTTTTATGTTGGAGGAGAACAAAGGTGGATTTAATATTCCCTTTACAACTTCTAGACTTTGGGCCAACTGAGGATTTGGGGACACAGTGCAAGAGAGCAGCCCCAGTGGCTGCTTTTAACCCTTGCAGCATCAGAGCATTGCAGCAGTCCAGAGTGCTCTGGAGAGCAGCAAGGCCTTCTGTGTTCCCTCACCTCCCCAGCACAGTCATCCTCTCTGTCTACTCTTCAATACAGTGTGTGGAAAGCTACAGGGTGTTGAAGGATACCTTTACTTAATCAGTGCAGTGCTCTCAGGGAGATCTCCTCATTATAGTAGGGTTTTTTTCTGGGGGAAGGATCTACAGGATTAAAACTGTTGCCATGGAAGAGCTACTATTTGTTCCAAAGCAGGCTAGATGTCATGTTTTCCTGGTGTTCAAAAAAATTTTTGGGTTTGTATTTCAGATGTTGATGGTGGCTTTGGGAGTTTTTTTTTGGTAAGTGTTGAGTTTTCTAAGACCATCTCTACAGACTCTTTAGTATGGATTGTAACTTGTCCATTGTCTTCATTTTTCTAGTTGCATCTTAATTTTGTCAACCTGAGCACTGAGATAAGCATCTTCACATTCTGCATGGCTTCTGTATGCCTGCGTTTCTTGTAATAACCACTGGGTGTCGTAAGTCTCTTTGGATTACAGGACATCGAGAAGGACAAATTTAGTCCAATCAAGGACTGCCTATGATCTTTTTTTTTTTCGGGTGAAAAGGCCGTTGTCTAATTTACATAGGATTACAATAAGGAGTCCCAAATCTTACTTTAAAATAATGTAATTTGTTTAGGTAAATGTGTGATTCTTGGGGCTGTCCTGTGCAGGGACAGTAGCTGGACTTTGATGATCCTTGTAGACTCCTTCCAATTCAAAATATTCTGTGAGTCTGTGATTCTTTATTTATGTACCAAGGGCAACTAATATGAGATAGGAATACTACAAACAACAGCCTAATTCTCTACATGTTTTATTCCCATTACCGTTTAGTCATTCAAC